TCAACAACAAAGGACTCAGGCACTGCATTGATCATCATGGATTCCAGAGTTGTCGTAGCAAAAGCGAGTAATTGGGCAGGCATGACCAAGACTGAGACCAGTTGTATTGTTTTGCAACTGGCTTATGGTGGGAGGAAGCCAACCATGCAAAACTCGAAGCCAACCTATATTTACTTAATCTACATGTGTACATGTATAGTGTACAGACACACACACACACAATGTCACGTCTTCGGCCCGCAAGCAGTTATGCTTTATCTTGATGTGGGTATGCCATTGATACACCACTGCACATGTGAATACTCATGTATGCGCAAGCGATGTAGGCGTTGGTTGGCTGGCTGGCTGGCTGGTTGGTTAGTTGGTTGCCTTTTTGTTTCTTTGTCATTTGCGCGTGCGTGCATGGGTTGTGCTGTGCGAAAGCGGTTAGTCGGTGTGAGAGGACGATCTCTTTTGGCGGCGCTGACATGCGTGAAGTGAGCAGCCAGACAATGTTGAATGTTGTCAAGCCAAGTTGTAAGGGAGATTGAGAGGACGAGAGTGTGGCCTATGCACCGCTGATGTTTTAAGAGGAGCGGGTTTCTCTGAGGAGATTGCCGGCGAGCTTCGCGGCCATGTTCGAGAAGCAGCTGCTTCGCCTCATGCCAATTATGTGTTGCAGAAGGAGCGGCTGTTCATGTGCCACCTGAGCATAGTGAGTTCCGTGCTGGTCTCCAAAGATCTCTCAATTTTGCTCAGTCAAGCAAATGTCTCGCAGGTGATCAGCCAGCTGAGCCCTGCATCGTTCATCTTCATTGCAGAGGAGCTTGTTGGAAATGCCGCAAGATTCGCGTGGGCCTCGACGTGCAGCCTAGCAAGCACCCCAAAGCACTGCTACCAGAGGGTATTTCTGATTGGTGCGCGCTTATTTCTGATTACTGGATCGGAGGCCCGGCACCGCTATGGTTGCCGGATCATCTGCCGGCTGCTGGAGTACTTGCCAAGCGAGGCAGGCGGCATGTCTCCACGAAATAATTGACCCACCAATGAGCAATAGCAGCAGCAGCCCCTACCACAAGCGTTGGCCTAATGAGCCTGCAGACAGCAGTCCATTGCAATGAATGTACAAACAAGGCAAACCTCATGATCTGCGATAGCGCATGATTTGCAGCAATGTGACGCGACTATTGTTGCGTTCTAAGAGAAGTAGCAGCACCAGCTTGATGGGCAGCAATCCATGCCTCGTAGTCTTCCTGGGTGCCAACCTCTTGAAGCAAATGCCTCACAGATGAGGGGATGTCAGTCACAAGTCTGCGATGCCGGAGGAGAAGTATGCGACGATTGTCTCGCTGGTGATCGACGAGCTGCTGAGCAGTCTTTCCGAGGCGCTGAGAAAGCGCACGTGACAGCTTGCGACGGTGTGACCAAGAACGGCCCAGGCTCAAGACCTCTGCCGGCACAACTTCGGGCATCATGTGGCCCAGGGCATTCTGGAGCATGGGGGTCATTGGCTGCAGAGGACGGGCTTGGTAGAGCTTTGCAGATTAGCAATGGCAGATGTGGTGAGGCACAAGGATTACCTGGCCGAAGTCCTTCAATATGACTTGGAGGGCAATGCCATGCATCGCAGTGCGCGCGTCTCGAGACTGGTTGCCATTGTGTGCCGGTTGATTGGTGTGAAGTTCTGCGCAGGCCAGCTATTTGCTGGAATCTGCGCTGACGCACTGTAAAGTCGAGGAGCTTTCAGAGAAGAGTGGTGCACCGATCATTCTTTGTTGAGCAACAATTCTCGCGCAGTAGAGAGGACCAAAAGCTCTTCTTGCACTGCCTGGCCAGGGCTGATGTTGCCTGGCACCTAGTGGGATGTCGATTCTTGCATGTCATCACCTCAGCATGACGTTTGCTTTGCAGATGCAACGCCTGGTGGGCAACAAGTTTGGCATTTTCGTGGCCAAGCGGGTGCTCGAGCGGCCGGAAGTCGATGAAAAGGCAGGCTGCGCAAGGATCGCAAGGCATGTTGCACCCGACTCCCACGTATACAGCCCAAGCTCAAAAGCCACACAGAGGATGAGGGGTTCTGCCAGGGTCACTTTGATTTTGCGGAGCAGAGGCCTTTGCGGAGCACATCCTCGTTGAAGAAGTGATGAGGGGCACTGCCTGTGTCCGAGCGTGGTAGCTCGTAACTGTGGCCGGGTGTGGCGGCATCCGATCACAGTCAATCTTTCGTGAAACAGAGCCTGAGTTAGTGACAGAGACTCTGTAGCGCACGTTGCGGCGCTTGGGACTTCCCCGGACTCAAATGCTGGCTGGGGACTTGCCCGTTGTCCCGTTGTGGCGAAGTCTGCTCCAAAGTCCAACATTGAGGCGTTGTCCGCGATGGTCCATGGACTCTGTACAGATGACAGACATGTGCAGCTTGCTGTTCTGACCTTGTTGGAGGTGTTCAGCTTGCATTTGTCCTGGTGGCTCCTTGGCGCAGACCACTTTGAGTCTGCTTGCTGTTGTGCGTACCAGTACAAATATTCCTTTGTCGTTGGTGTGAGCCATGTGCTGCCGGGACTATGGGTGCGTTTGCGCTCACTTGGTTTGAATTTTCATCCATGACATACCAATCTTCTGGAATTGTGTCAATAGTAAAAGAAACATATAATTCAAAATACCAGGTTGCAGCCAACTTTGAATGTTCACGTTTTGACAGCAAAGTCTGCGTTGGCAGATTTGGCAAACTTGTTAAAGCAAGTGCAGAAAGTGCAGTATCTTAAAAGAAGGTACCTTTTCTTATTAAGATCATTGCTTCTGGACTGTGTGTGTGTGTGTGTGTAGAGTCGTGGCTGCACTGCTGCAATCAGTCCTGTTCGAGATCAGCTTTCTGGCGCGCAATGCACGCTGCGCAATTTCTAAAAGGTGCACCAGAAAAGTTTGGAAGGGTTTGGAAGAGGCTTGGAACAGTGTACCTGCACAAACGCGATTAGCTGCACGGATTTGATACAGAAGTTGTTCCTTTGAAACTGGAAGATACAGTAGCTCTTGAAATAGTTTTGCTTTTGCAAGGTTCTAACCGATGTATATGTGTTTGTGTTGCTATATTGTTTTTGGGTTATATGGTTCTATTTGAGGTGTGAAATTGATATTTTAATGTACATTTGAGATTGGGATAATTATATATTTTTGTTATTGGAATATTTAGGAAATAATACTATTTTTAGTTAATAAACTTCATTATTATATTAATAAATTTATATAGATATTTGAGGGAAAATTGATTTGGAAAAGGAATAATTGAACATATGTATTTAAGTTAAATCTAAATTATATATTAATATATATAAATAATAATATTTATATAATTTAAAAAATAAATATTAAATTCAATTTTAAATTAATTTAAATTAATATAAATTAAATGCTAATTTATTTTATATGAAATTTATATTAATTTGAAATATATTTTAATTATGTTTTAAAATAATTTATTTTTTTTTAAAAAAACAACTAAAAAACTAATAATATTAATTTATTATGTTTTAATTATGGGATTATAATTTTTTGCGGGGATTGTTTGATTCAATTTAATTATAATGATTTGGATTTTATAGAATTATGATTTTTATTTTATTTTTATTGATTATTATTTATTTATATTTTATTAAAATTTATTAGAATTATATAATATAATATTTAGAGAAATTTAATATTGAATAATATACAAACATAAAAAAAACTAGATTTTATTTAGGTTATAGGTTTGTTATAAATTAATATTGGGCATGAAATGAATTGAAAATTTATATTAAAATAAAAAATAGATGGGATTTGGTTTTATAAGATGGGACGGCATTTCCTCGAATTTGATTTTAAATTTGTTAGGGCGGAAAAAAAAATCCGGAAATAATTTGGAATATGCCGGTTCGGGGTGTTTGGAATATTAGCAATTAAACCATTTGTTTTTGGATATGCCTGATTTATGGGTGTATATTTCCCCTTAAACCGTCTGATTGAATTAGTTGGGAAGGGGGCATGGGATATGGGAAAGGTTGGGTAGAGGCTTTTCTGGCATGAGTAAAGCCTTATAAATCTTAATTATAAATTTGTATAACGTTACCGCCGGATTAAGAAGGTTCGGTTCTTGCATTGGTCGATTCTTAGCCAACTTGTTAGCACTAGCTTTTAATGCTCGGGTTCGGTTTTACACGGTTCGGTTCCGGAGCGGTTCGAAACGATTCGATTCTGAAAGGACTTCGATTACGGTTCTTGATTCTATTCTATGCCTGCTTGAAGTTAAATGTGTTGGGCCATATAGTAATGTGTATGCATTATTGTGCGTTGGGTTGTGTTGTGCAATGCGTTGTGATTTATTGTGATGTTTTGAGGTTAATGTATAAAATTTATTGTATTATTATATAATTTAATGCTATTTATATATTTTGTAAATGTTAAATTTGTATATATTTTAAATTTGGAAATTTGAATTTTATTAATTCCTAAAAATGTATACTATTTGGGATTAAATGAATTTCGGGTGTTATTATATTTCCTAAAAACATAAGCTAATTTTTCTTTTCTAGCTTCACGTCTCGACTCTTAATTCTTCTTCTTTTTCTGGCGGGGGTAGGCCCGACGGGAGCTTACGAAACGTACCCTCTGCGGAGATTGTGCGTGTCGAAACTCGTTGTGGCGCCGCGCGAATTTGTCTTGACCGTGCGTGTCGGATCGTTCTCGTTGTGGTCCCGTGCGAATCTGTTTTGAGCCCGATGAGCCCTCTACGGGGATCGTGCGTGTCGGATCGTTCTCGCTGTGGTCCCGTGCGAATCTGTCTTGACCGCGGCGAACCCTCTGCGGAGATCGTGCGTGTCGAAGCGTTCTCGTTGTGGCGCCGTATGAATCTGTCTTGAGCCCGATGAACCCTCTGCGGAGATCGTGCGTGTCGGATCGCTCTCGCTATGGTCTCGTACGAATCTGTCTTGAGTCCGATGAACCCTCTGCGGGGATCGTGCGTGTCGCATCGTTCTCGCTGTGGCGCCGTGCAAATCTGCCTTGACCGCGGCGAACCCTCTGCGGGGATTGCGCGTGTCGAAGCGCTGTCGTTGTGGTCCCGTGCGAATTTGTCTTGACCGTGACGAACCCTCTGCGGAACTCGTGCGTGCCGAAGCTCTCTCGCTGGCGCCGCGCGAATTTGTCTTGTCCGCGGCAAACGCTTTGCGGAGATCGTGCGTGTCGAAGCGCCTTCGCTCCCGTGCGAATCTGTACGGACCTTGGCGCTTTTTTTAGCGGGGACCGTGCTTGTCGGAAGTCCGATGAGCCCTCTGCGGGGATCATGCGTGTCGCATCGCTCTCGTTGTGGTGCCGCACGAATGTCTTGAGTCCGATGAACCTGCGAGGATCGCGCGCGTCGGATCTGTGGCCCCGTACGAATTTGTCTGGACCCTGGCGCACCCTCTATGGGGATCGTGCTTGTCAGATTGCTCTCGCTATTGCGCCGTACGAATTTTCTTGCTTTCGTTACTCGCAAATGGTCTTTGAAAATTGTCTCGTAACTTACGCACCTACTTTTGCAATCGCGGCATGGCAGGATCGATTCCCCCCTGGCCCGCACTAATTCCGGCACGATAATCGCAAGTTTTAAGTACAAAATTCGCGGCGAGCATCCCCCCGGCTCCGCCGGAAAAAGAAGAAAGAACTCAGAGTCGAGAAGAGAAGGTAGAAAAGAAAAATTAGTTTGCGTTTTTTAGAATAGTGAAGTAACGCCCGCAAAGTTTGCTTGCGCTTTACAATGCTAAAGGAACGCCCGAAAAGTTAGTTTCTACGACAAGCCTTTAGATGCCGGAGCGTAACAGACCACGAGTATTTTGACTGGTCTTCTTAACGCTGAGCATCTACGGGCTGAAGCAGATGTACGTAATACCGCGGGACTAGCTTTGCTCCTTTGCAGCTGGCTTGGATGTTACGCAGAGGGATCCTACGACTGGACAGCAGTGCACCAAGGGTCAACTGCTTGATTCTTTGGCGGCAGCTTTGTGTCTTGCCGCCAAAGCAAAGGTGTGGTGTCGCTTTTAAAAATATTCCCCACAAGCGGCGATGCCTCAATTGTGTTTAGATGGTTTGTTTATTTCAATAATTTTGCACACCTTCCCGACCTAACACAGAGGCATGGTTTACAAGTAGACCCCACAAGTTTAGTTTTATTGCTTAGCTCTTTTTGCACCCCCAATACGTAACTTGTTCACGACAAGCCTTTAGATACCGGAGCGTGTCTTTTAGCGCGCGTAACGGGCAGAGGAAGGCTCGCTCGAAAGAATATTTTTGTTAAGGATGTTTGCCTGAATGTAAGAGGCTGGTCGCCTTAGTCTTTTATGCGTATTTAAGAACTATGTGATAAAAGCGTAGGCAATTTCGTCTTCGATAGCTGTAGCGAGTTCTGGGCATGGTCTTCCCGACGCACAGCACTTGCAAGCCGAAGCAGGATCACGAGGTGCTGACTAGCTCCGGGCCGAATTGGACGGCTCCATGACGCTGGCAAGGCTTCGCTCCTTTGGAGTCGGCCTCGGCGTCTCGCAGAGAGATTTCATGTCTGGCCAGCGGCGTACCAAGACCCAACTGCTGGATGATTTGCGTGAATCTTTGTGTCCTTCTTCCAGAGCAGAGGTATGGCTTTCTTAAACGCTTACTTTTGTCGATAGTTGCTTACCTGTTCTCCTTGGGATTGCGCGCAAAATGTTTTTTATAGGGCTAATAATTTTGGTTTATGCGCGCGTGTCAAATCGCTCTCGCTGCGGTTCCGTGCGAGCCTGTCTTGGGCCCGTCGTGGTTTGCGCGCCTGCTTTCGCAATCCCGCGGTCGCGGGTTCGATTCCCCCCTAGTCCGCGGAAGCTCCGGCTCGAAAATCGCAGCTTTTAAGTACAAACGTAGTATGCGGAGCGTGCTCCCGTAGCTCCGGCTGGAAAATCGCATCTTTTAAGTCGCAGTACGCGGAGACTGCTGCAGCTCCGAGTAGAAAATCCAACTTTTTCAGTATAGACGTAGTACGCGGAGTGTATTCCCGCAGCTCCGGCTGGAAAATCGCAATTTTTAGATACAAACGGCTGGAAAATCGCAACTCTACCTGCCAGCTTCTCATGCCACCTTTTCGAGAGTTACTTCACCTGCTAACTTCTCGTGCTAATTTTTCGAGGAGTTACTTCACCTACGAGCTTCTTATGCCAAAATTTCGAGAAATACTTCACCTGCCCTGCTAACCTCTCATGCCAACTTTTCGAGAAATTACTTTATATGCAAACTTTTCACGCCAACTTTTCGAAATTACTTCACCTGCCAAGTTCTCGTGCCAACTTTTCGAGAGTTACTGCGTCTGCCAGCTTCTCATACCAATTTTTCGAGAGTTACTTCACCTCCTGCCAACTTTTCGAGAGGCTTTCACCTGCCAGCTTCTCACGCCCAACTTTTCGAAAGGTACTTCACCTGCCAACATCGCCGGCCAATTTTTCGAGAGTTACTTCACCTGCCAACTTCTCGCGCCAACTTTTCGAGATTACTTCGCCTGCCACCCACAAGCCTATCATCGCGTTTACGCTGAGCTTGGCCATGTGCTCCTCGCCCTCGGGCCAGGCCTCGTCCATCCGCTCCAGCGCGCGCCGCAGCGTCGCCGCGCCGACGTGGCTCCGCGCGGAGACGCCCGACACGATGTGGTCCCAGCGGCAGACGCCCAGGTCCAGCATCGTCGCCAGCGAGACCTTGGGGGACCAGCCGGGCCCCACGTACGGAAACAAATTAAGGCAGCACTGCCTCGCGTCGCAGCAGCCCTCCACGAAGCCCAGGTCCGGCAGCACTGCCTCTACGGGCTCAATGCCGTTGGCCGGGCACAGAGTCGGCAGGGGGAAGGGGGCGTTAGCGCCTGCAGCGCACCACGTCCACTTCTCATGCCAACTTATCTCTTGAGTTACTTCACCTGCCAACTTTTCGCGCTAACTTTTCGAGAGTTACTTCACCTGCCAGCTTGTTATGCCACCTTTTCGAGAGTTACTTCACCTGCCAACTTCTCGTACCAACTTTTCGAGGAATTACTTCACCTACGAGCTTCTCATACTAACTTTTACAGATTATTTCACCTGCCAATTTGTCATGCCAATTTTTCGAAAATTATTTTGCTTGCCAATTTCTCTTGCCAATTTCTCTTGCCAACTTTCCGAGAGTTGCTTCACCCACCAACTTCGCCAGTCAACTTTTCGAGAATTATTTCACCTGTCAGCTTGTTATACCAACTTTTCGAGAATTACATAACCTACCAACTTCTCATAACAACTTTGCGAGAATTACTTCACCCGCCAATTTTGCCTCCCAACTATTCGAGAATTATTTCACCTGCCAACTTCTCATACCAAATTTTTAGGAATTATTTCGACTACCAATTTCTCATACTAATTTTTCGAGAAGTACTTCATCTGCATCAACTTGCCTCTATGCTTCCGGGCCACTCGAAATCATTAAAACAAAATAAAAAAACAAATTATAACAAAAAACAAACAAATTAATATGCCATAATAACGGCAAAACAATTTTAATATATATAATAATTATTCTAAATTCCCTAAAACAACCATTTTTCATAAATAAAACAATGTATTTCCGCGACTCCAATTAAAAAATCACAATTTTTCAACACCAATATATAAAATATTCTTTCATAATTCCAGCGGCAAAAACGAATAACCCCAACTTAAACTTGCATTTTTTCAATACCAAGCGACTATTCTAATTAAAAAAACGCTCAAAAAAATACCTTCCTTTACAATCGAAATCTATACTCTTGTACGAATTTTCCAAAACTTTCGTAAAACATCACTCACATTTCTAAAACCATCGACTAACACCCACACACCTAGAATATTAACTAACAAAACAAAAATCACAATTCCATCGTAAATCTTTCACAAAATTACCTCAACCACCACCAATATACTAAATTCCTTATAAAGATCAAAAAAATATGTCCCATATATTCAATATATTCAATAAACAACCATTAACACAAATAAATTCTAAAAACAATATTCTTAATAAAATAATATTAATTTAACTTTAATAAAAATCCTACATTTATAAATATACATATATATATTTTAAATAAATTAGATATTCAATATAGATTAAATAAAATAACAATATATAAAACCACAAAAAAAATATTTCAACAATACAATATTCCTATAAAATTACAAACCACCAAAAAATCTCAAAACATTAATATAATTCATCAATAACATTTTTTGTTTTTTTACTTATTTCAAGTTACAACATATAATATTAATAACAATATAATTATTTAAAATAAAAATAGATTCATATTATTTTAATTATATATTTTATTTAAATATTTTTAACTATTACAATCAAACCAATTATAAAATAAATAAATATCACAAACCATTTTTTTTTAAATATATCCTTCCTTTTCTATTATCTTTTATTATTATTATTTTTCTTTTTTTCATTTCCTCCCTTTCGCCCCTCCTTCCTTACCTTCCTCAAAACAATATCGAAAGAGTGAATAAGCTAGTGAAGTGGCGTAAAGCGAGGTGAAATATCATTCATTTACCGTTTTCTTGAATATATGTAGAATATATTCGAGAAGTATTTCAATAATCATAATGCAAGTATTATGATGCGAATTCAGGACATTCTGCCCTACAAGTGGATGCTGGGAAAACACTGTCCGAAGATCGACTATGATGCACACATCATTGATCGCAAGGAGCGGAAATCAAGCAACCTTGCGCAGTAGACGAGGCACGTGTACGTGCCCAAGTAGATGCAAATTATCGGCGCCGTATGATTCCCGGCGACATGCACTTTCTGGGTGACACATCAGATTCACTGGAAGCCGCCCCAAGAGCTGCTTTGGCCTAGCTCTGGCAATTTAGCCGAACCCAAATGAAGTCAAAAATTGCTGTTGTGGGGACCTTGGACATTCGCACCTAACAGCAATCGATCATTTCGCTTAGTCGCACGAAATTGGCATCCAATCCAAAGAGACCAGATTGCCCCAGTTGACTTAAAGCTGTCAGGCTCGACGCACGTACGCACGCACATACAGAAGACACCAAAGGCACACCCGCGCGTGCAGGCATACACGCGCACAAACAAACCACACGCAGGCACGCAGACAAACACAAGCGCGCACTCACGTACACAGCGCCAATGCAGACAAGCAAACACACAAAGACACACGCACAGACGCGAAGTTAAGCACACAGGCAAACAACAAATGAGCAGATGAGCAGATCTGCAAATGATACATACACGCAAACATCCAGATTAGGCACACAACACACACACACAACATACAAAGCACACAAGGTTGAACTGCTGGCATCTTCTGTCAGCTTGTACCGCTGTCTCTGCCAAAGGTTGTTCTTCACAACACCCCCAATCTGTGAGCAGCACTCTGCGAAGTCTGGTGGTGAGGTCTGACATCTTGCGGCGGAGGTCCTGACCCGACGGACATTGACAGTGTTGGCTTCAGGCCACGAACAGCTCCTCTTTCTCCACGTTGGTCTCCTCCCAAGGTATGTATACATATGTATATGTATATATATGCATATGTATCTGCATATATACATACATAATATAGATGTGTTGCCGGTCTCATTTTTTGAGTTTAGGGATAGTTGAAGGAAACGCACAATTTTGAGGGCTGGAGAAGGCAACTCACTGGCAACAGCACCAACAAGTTGTGTTGAGCCGATCCGTAAGCAGGGATGGGTCGTAAAAACATCCTGATAATCCTTATGCCAAATGGTAGTGGTGTCCCTTTGCATGAAGTCCGTGTCAGACTGTCACACTGCTTTCTGTGCTACAATATGATCGAAAAGCACAACAACCGACATGCGATTGGATGCGTCACTCCTCATCATCACTTTCCATCATGTGTCTTGCCTTGGACTGGTAAAGCACGGATCTTCAAAATACAGCAAAGCACTATGAGATGGGTGTTCTGCCGACAGAGCGAGATTGTTGCGGACATGATCATCTGAGGACCAGGCACAAACCCAAGCACCAAATCTGCTTCGAGCCTTTTGAGCCTCGCAGGAGCTGATGAATACGCATAAAGCTGCCACGTCTTACGGTACACATAATTGACATAGTACACCAACAACATTGCGGCCTTCCGCAAGTCTTGGAACTGAGCTTTCAATGCCTCGAAAAGCGCAATGAGCTCAGTGAGCTCAATGAGCTCATTGCACTTTCTTGCCTCGCCTGCTTCTCTGCATCCGGGCTATGCCGGGCCTGCAAGCAATCTTCCTTCGCTGCAAGCAAAGCCAGCACATGTCAGCAATCAGGGCCTGCAACGTGCGCAGCTGCTCCTGCAGCCGGTCAAGCACTTCAAAAACACACAGAATCCTGATCTGGCCTTCAACTCTTCAATCCTCACTTCAAGTGCCTGATTGGCACTTGCAAACAGTATCACGAGCTGCCACAGCGTCACCCTCTGGATAATGCTGACATATCGAACCAAGCAAGATGCGTCGCCTGTTTCTCCTCTTCCCATCTCTCTCGCTCTGCTTCCACCTCGCTGGTGGCAGAGCAGCGCTGGAGATTGCTGTCATATCACAAAACAAGGCAGGCAGGCCTTGCTTTGCTCATGGACATACATGCATTTTGATACAACGCACCCATGACTCTCAAAATAAAGTAGAGAACAAGGTTGGACTTGCTACTGCTAACCATTGTGACACACACACACACACACACGCAAGCTTCCTTCGGAAAGTACTTGCAAAGCACTGCATCGAACGCTGAGACGCAAAGCACTGCATCGAACGCCGAGATGGTAGCTCTAGTACACCCCGCACCGTTCTCGATCCTCAATAAGCCTCTGACCAGGCTGACAATGTCGTTGATGGAGGTATTTCCCTGCCGACAAGCTGGGCACCGTACAGACAACGGCAACAGGGAAAATGGCCTTCTTTGCGGCTGAAGCAGCTGCATAGTGCTCTCCCACATCCAAGAGATCAGCACGCCTTTGTGAACACTTGCCAAAAAACACTTTTGATCAAGGGAATCTGTCCTAACTCAGAGCTTTGCTTGTCCAGCTTAGGCGGCACTTGCTTATGTTGACCAGCATAATCTGTGTTCTGCACCAATTCACAGAAGATGCGTCGCTCTTCCTTCCCACGGAGGAGGCATCACTGCCTCGGCGGTTGCAGCACAACCCACTTTGGGCTTTTCAGTGGGTACCGTGCCTACCCGCTGCCTGGCCCCAGGATGCGGTGCAGAAACCTTTGCCAGGCAAAGGGGTCTGCGTGCTTCGGCTTAGCATGCACAAACCATTTGCATCAAGTAAGCGATTCCTTACCTCTCATCACGAATCACATAACTTGCCTCCTTGTCGTCGTCACTGTCGCTAATCAGCTGATCTACAGCTTGCAGCTGCTCCAGCCTGAGAAGGCAATTCGCCCCTTCCTCCAGCATCTTGGATGCAATATGCATGGTATGTTCTCGAGGGCGCTAGCCACCGGGACCCTGACCCCTCGAAGGTGATACGGCTCGCCTTGCGATTTCCTCTACCACAGTCCTGGACGTCCTATCAATTGCAGTGTGGATGGCTCATCTACACATCTGACTCATGGTCAGCTAGTCAAGCGGTCCCTTAGGGAAGATCTCCGGGATGGCGAGTCAGAGGTGTCACTAGCCACTTCCTGCAGGGTAGTTTGTGTCTGTGGCCATGCCTTTGTACGTAAGTGTCACTGTAACGCGCCAGCCCCACGCTTGCTGCAGCACTGACCACGGTTGAGGTGCAGGGTGTATCGACATCCTGCCATGTAAAGGATTTGTTTTTTAGTGAACAGCAAAACAACCACACGACTACGTTCAACAATCTGCCCGCAAAAGCAAGTTCCTCTCTCATCCTTCTAGACTTGCCACTCCCTTCCCAGCGTCCTCCAGCGCAAGCAGTGCTGGTGTCAAACGGTCGCTGGGGTGTCCCCTGCACTGCAGGTCGTTTGCGTCTCAGAAGAAGCATGATCTGTGCTGCAGCAAGCATGCAAACGCAATCCGGATGGCGCACAGTGAGGCTGACCTGCAAACAATGCTTGACGATGCAACAGGTCCTTTCAAGGTCATGCCATGCCTCCGAAATGACCGCCGAATGGATGGCCCCTGCACTTTATCAGCAGACACGGTGGGCAATTGCACAGCTTCGATATGATTTCGCTTTGTATCATGCGGCATTTCCAATGTAAAAGCATTTCGGTCAAGTTCGAGCCTCATCCGTGGGCCTGCCACGCAAATAGTGTCAATCTTGATCCCTTGCAACTCGACTCGATGAAAGCAACCAGCACAGCCCCAGACATTCCAGTCGACTTGTCTTCAAACACCTCACAAGTCGCGGGTGCGAAACTAGCAACATGGTCGTGTTGATGAGCGTGTTGCGTGGAAAGTCAGCTTGCAGGCAAAACCGACTAAGAAGAGCATTCCGAGGTAACAGTAGATAAAACATGCACTAGTAACTGGCACTGGAGCTAGAATCGCCGGGGGCGATCCAATAATTTTGGCAATCAAGTTGTTGCCAACAACCTCAATCGAATCAACGCTACATTGCTGGGGGTGGAGTGCTTCGGCCAGTAAGTACACTGCACATGAGCTGCACCTTCCCTCCAATCAATATTGACTATCACTTGCTGGTTGCGTGTTCGAATATGATGCATGGCTTTGGCTGAACGCAGAAGCGAGTACAACGGCCGCACTGAGCAAGACATCATTACAGAAAAAAACAAAAACATGCATGACATCCTGCCCACGCGTCTGCTGCTGCAACTTTACCAAAAAAACAGGAGAGTCCAAGTCTTGTTTATTTCCGTTCAACCCTGACAGGTGTCGAGGAAAACGCAGCAACTATTGACAGCGCCCAGCAAAGGATACAGAATTCAAACACAACCGCTTCTACCAGTATGAAGAGTCCTTTGTCTTCTTAAGTGTTGCCATCAAAACTGATCCGTCCTCAACGCTGACTTTGAGACACGGGATCAAGTGACAAAGCACCACTATCCATGATCCATTGGAGCCGCGCGGCAGAGACTGAGCGTTTGAACCTATTTCTGCGAAAGGCAGAGATAGGAGCCCGGGCCTGATCAGAAGAATCAGAACAACAGTGTGTTGTAGTGTTGCTCAAGCTGCCTTCTGCAATCTCTCGACTGCGCCGCCCGTCTGCTCCAACAAAGCCTCCTGCCGTCAAGGCTAAAAGAACACTGCTGCCACAAAGCCTCTGTAGTGGTTTGACAACGCTTGTACCCTTATGAGGCCAGCAAAACGTTGAATTGGAACAGTGTGTGCAGACTGGCTCCAAGTTGACTCCTTCAGCCCGACGAGGTGCTTCTCAGCCACGTGTCTAACCTCATTTGCAGAAACCACACTCTCCTTTGGCAGTCTCTGCTCGCCGGTGACTTGTTTGGCCGCTGAACATCGGAATCAACGGGCCTGCCAAAGCTCCTAGCTCAGCACTGGAGAGCTTGCGCCAAAGTCCACCAGCCAAGCAGCACGTTGTCGCAGCTCTGCTCTTTCTGTTGCCTCTGTGGACTCGCCTCCTCCTGGGATGATTCTTAGCATCAAAACGTGCCGCCTCTGCCTTGTTCGTCCTTCTTCTCCTTCTACCATCCAGGCCTTGGCGCAACTTGCGTTTGGTTGGTTGCTTTGGTGGTGTCCGTTCGGCTCAATCGCAGGCCACGTCGGCTAAGCTTAAGCTGAGTTACAACTCCATTGGGCTTCTTTGGCTCCCTTGGCCAAAGGGTCGTGAGAGTCCCATCAGCACAGCGCAGTGCTCCACGCCTGCATTGCGACCGAAGAAGTAGCGCTTGAAGACCAGCTGTGCAGCCTGCAAGATGGGGAAAATTTTGAGCTACGCTACATACATGCTGCAAGGCTCAGGTTTCTTCAGACACAACTCTACTCCCTGCCTCCGCAAAGCTGGGGTAGCACCTCCTTCATCTAGCTGCACACATGTGGCTCACATGTACGCGTTGCCAAAACAGGCGCTGTTATCTGCTTTGCTTGCGTTATCTTGTGTTCATTGCGGTGTTTTTTGTTGGGTCCGCCATGTGCGGTGCATAGTAGGGTGAGCTAGTGCATATGGTGGTTGATTGGCATGGTTGCCTTGTTGCCACTCAATGGCGGATCCTGCAAGCCAGAATTCAAGCGGGCGAAAATGGCAAAGGATGAAATCACTGCCAAATCTGATGTAACTGCAGAGCTCCACGGCCTTATTTCTGTGAGGGGTCTAATGCAACGCCATTGGCGCGATCCATTTGCAGGGGCGACGTTGCCCCAACAAAATGGACATCTGTTCCGAGCCTATGGAGCAGCCGCTCAGGAGTCATAATGTGTTTGAGTTTGTGTGGCTCTGTTCCTCCACGTCTTGCAAGACACTCCGATATTTGTTTGTGGCCCTGTTTTTTTGGGTGGCTTCTCAGATGCACTATCAGGCCCTATTTCCCATTCTGAATTGTTCGACAACGATGGTTGTAAGTGGCCAGTTTTTGGAGCTTGGTGCATTTGGAGAGACTTTCACTTAGGCTTTTCGAGTACAAGCAACATCAGCCAATTCAATTTGCGTGAGACAGCAAATTGTAGTTTCATGGATGAGCAGTCAACCACCAATGAAAACACGGCTTTTCCATGCTGACACTGGGACTGATCAGCCCAGGGCACCTTCACCTTTGCAATTGAAGTGGCAAGTTGCTGAGACGTTGCCGGGTTGCTGTGAAGAGCCAGAGGCCCGATCATTAACGAATCAACGCAAGATGGCGCAAAATCTAGGCAGCATTAATAACTACTTTCCTCTGGGAAGAACCTAAGGTGCAATTCGGCGCGCAGAACTGTCGTCTCCAGTATCTACTGAAGGTCCAAGTGTCTTTTTCCAATTCTTAATCAGATCGAGTCGTGAAAAGAGACGTCCTTGTACAAATCCTTGAGGCCCAGCGGTCTGCAGAACGATCACCTTGCCCGGCTTCGAACCAGACCATTGAAGCAGCTGACGAGATGGAGCAAATACCCAAGCTGAAAAAGACAAGCCACAGAATCATCTGGCGCGAAGCCCGGTCCAGTCCAGCGTCTAAGTTTATGGGGCCACTGCCGGATACTTGATATGTGGCCGCGCCTAGTTTGACGCAGCCGGAATGCTTTCCAAAAGCGCCCACGAGGGGGCTCCTTTCAATGTTTTCCCGGCCGTCCAGCATGGTCCTAGCACGGCCGAACTGGGATATTGTCACCCACATCCACAACGGTATGAGCCAGCAACACCCTCAGCAGAGTTCCTGCAGTGCATGGCACGCACGCTTGTCAAGCCCCCAAGCTGTAAGTCAAGGACTGCAGCCCTCGTTTCCAAACTCTGAAGCTTCGAGCCCTGCGTCAGAGAGCCGGAGCATCTCCCGTGCCATTGCCCTCTCGAGAATGCGCTCCTTGCGCGCACATTGGCCACGATTCTTCCAAGCTGCGCTCGCTTTGGCTGGTCACCGTGCTTTTCCCCGCTTGGCAGTTAGTTGCAGAATATGACACTGCAAACACTTGGGAATTTCAGCCGGGTTTTGTGTGGTACTTGGCAAGCTGCCAAGAACGTAGCCGTGGAGAAGAAGTCGCACTAAGAATGGATTGGGCCATACCTTCCGCTGCTCTGCTAGGATGTCGTAAAAGCCGAACACAGCTTGAAGCTCTATGTAGATCCGAGTTTTAGGCTGCGCCATAGACCCATAGACACAAACACACGCGCAGTTTGGTTTCTTTTCCGGAGTGCCACCTTTACGCGTCGCCCAGTCACTGGTGCTGGGGCACGGGCTCATAAGATTTCACCGGCTAAACAAGCGCAGCGTTGGTGAACTTGGTTTTCGAGCTCCACCTTTACAAGCACCTGCCGTACAAGTTTCTGACGAAACGCCAGGCTTGGGTTGTTCCCACGTCTTCAGTTGAGTTTGTTCGAAGACGCCCCAATAAGTTCAAAAGTTCCAAGCTCCTTTTTCATGTTATAATTGTTTGACTTTGCCCCGACGGTTGTAACAGACTAGTCCTTGTTGATGGAGGGAACATTGACAATTCCAGGGCAACGGGGCTTTAAAGCAGCCGCAATTGTTTTACTTAAGCGTGGTGACGCGCACAACGCGTTTATGTGCAAGAACCTTTTGGAGTTTGAGCTAGAAGGGTCGAGGCTTCCTCTTCTTGGTCTGTGTTGTTCGAAGATGCCTCGACGGTCAAGTGGCCTTCTTGGATGGGCTACCGTGCGATCTGGTAAACGATTCCAAGTTGGTGTCCTTGTCTGAGTTGTTTGGAGATGCCTCAGACGGGTAAAAGCGACCAGATTTAGAGACACGCAACTGCAAGTAGGTGCTTCAGAGTCGTTCTTTCGGCGGGGCTGTGGACGCTGAGAAATTCCAGAAGAAGGGCTTCAAAGTTTTCAAAGCTCCATGGCCTATGATCATTGTTCCCTTAACGGGAATCATTACAATGATGATAAAGGATGCCTACTACAGGGAAAGGTTCCCTTAACGGGAATCATTACAATGGTGATAAAGGATGCCTACTACAGGGAAAGGTTCCCGTAACGGGAATCATTACAATGGTGATAAAGGATGCCTGCTACAGGGAAACCCCGAAGTCACAAGTCAAGCAATGTTTTCTTTGATGGGATGTACTGTCTTGCCTTGCTTGCGTTTTACAGTGGGGATGCACTGTCGCTTGGCAGCATATTCATCTGCAGTGATCAATACATGTCATGTCCGTATGTACTCTAGGCCATACCAAAATGGAAGCCTCCACAATGAGCAGTCAAAGCATCCGCGAATGATTTCCAGCTGGCTGCTCCAGGAAAGCTGAAAACACAAGCAAACGCTTGCACGTCATCTGTACAAGCACGTGCGACCAGAGTCCGACCGATTTATATAGTGTTGCGTGCCATGAACAATGACCAACCATCTGCCGAAGTCTGCACGTCAACAATGCTTTGACCCTCAAAGCTAGCTCACCATGTGCGAGACCTCGGCCAGCGTGGCTCAGCTATTCACCAAGTGAGAAGGTTTGGGCCGGTGCTGCGCTGAATAAGAACGGTCGCATCCTCATTCAAGGCAAATTCATTCGAGATCATTACACTGGGAAGTGACAATGCTGAGCAACAGGCCGTGCCATGATGTCGCCATCCCCATTGAGACGCAGTGCCACTCCCTTGCACTGTGCAATTGCACATGTCTATTCTCATCGATTTCACAGCTTGCACATTTTCGGAATGTGCTGCACCAGCGAGGGTGCATTGAGCTTGAGCCGTGCCAAATACTCTTGTGTAAAAAGCGGTCCTATAAACTTGCTTTCGCGGACCCTTTCGCGATGCTTTCGCGACCCCATGTTTTGCTTTCGCGGGCTTTGGTTTCTTTAGAATTGCTTTCGCGACGCTTTCGCGGCGGAGCGTCACACAGCATGCAGGCTTTCGCGGGTCTTTCGCAGCAGGACCTTCTTTGGTTACTTTCGCGATAAGCTTTCGCAAGCTTTCGCGGCCAGCGTTTTGGCTTTCGCGGGGATTCTATATATAGGACACCCCCCTTTACTACTTTGTATTGTCAGGGTTTCTGGCGCTGCTCAAGTAGTCTTGGCAATAATTCAACAGGAGGGCTCCTTCGCTTGGCCTGTTATCTTGCCATTGCGTCGAATAGATGCATCACTTCAGATCTTGATCCCGGCTCGCGAAAACATGTTATCCTCCTCACTGTCCGAGCGTGTTTGCCAGATGCAGATCCCAAACGCCTGCCTGAACCACTATCATTGCCACCATCAGGTTGACAAAACGGGCGTCAAATCGTACACAATGCTTTCGACCAAGCCTAAGTGTAGCATCCTCAAGCTCCACCCCTCTGGCAAGCATGGACGCTGTTCTGAGCATATCTCAGGCTGCCGCAGCAGACTCTGGCCCATCAGGGAACCAGCATTCAGCTTGGAAAGCCTACACTCAGTGGGATGTGGCATTTGATCCAACTCTGTACCTTCACATTCTGTCAGAAGATAATCACGCAGCGACAGCAGCGCCTGAAACCAACGCCCTTCCCGGCTCGTATCAAGCCCGCAATGCCCTGGACAAATCCTTTAGGATCCTGGACATCCTGACAAACTCAAGGACGCTGCAAACAATACACGCTCAATTGCTGCCCACCATCGCTCCTCTGGTTTTCCGCCCACCCTTTCGCTCAGTGTGATTAGCAGGCTCCTTGGCTTTGCGACATGAATATGGCTGCCTGGCTTTGAATTCCGCATCCCACAAGAAGAAATCAACACCTTCTCCAATCAACCATCATCTGATGCTCTTCACTTTGATTAAGCCTTCGACGCAACTTCCTCTTCAGTTTTTGTGAGGAAGGCCTTCCATGAATCATTCCGACGTCAAGCCATACGTTCTGGCCGTTCAGCGTATCCAGCCTTCACCATCATGGAAAGGTCCTCTCCTGCATCACCAGACAAGTCCTGAATCCATGTGGCGCAACTTGAAAATTGCCTGGCCTAATAGCTGCCCCATAAGACTCAAGAAGGAGGCTCCGCTTTGAGTCGCCAAAAGCCCGCGTGTGGTGGCATCTCTATCAAGTGAAGTCCACCTATGCTTTGACCCATGGGACTCAAGGACCGGGGGAGCTTGAGAATCGAAAGTTCGCCAGTGCACAACTGAGGGGCGAGCTATGACAAGCCCACAATCCAGAAACACTAGCTGCACCTTGGCGAGTCAAACGGTCTGTGCAAACGGAAACACAGCCTGGCTGTTTTGGCACCCAGGGAACAAATTGATCAAAGCAAAACCAAATCTAAGTTTGGTGGCATTTGCGCCATCAGGCGCTCGGCGCCACAGGATGTTTCCTGCCACTGCGATGAGCTTACCTCTTCCAATCTCGAGACGCTCAAGAATGTGACTGCGTCTCATACCCTTCGCTAAAACGTGCCTGGATGTAGGTCACCATGGACCTCAGGTATTTCAAGGGCAGCTGCACGCTTCACAAGTGGCAGGCCCGTGATTA